CCTGACTTCAAATCTCAGTATTACCAAAACAAAACAAAACAAAAATCCCACAACCACCTTTGGCATAACAAACACCTATAGGTGGTTAGATTCTACACATGCTAGTCATCCCAAGCTGTAGCACAGGCATGGTGGCACACACTGTCATCCCAGTGACAAAGGGAAGCATAAATAGGAAGATTGCAGTCCAAACTGATCTGCGTAGAAGGCAAGACCTATCTCAAAAATACTCAACATAAAAAAGGGACTGATGAAGTGGATCAAGTGGCAGAATGCCTGCTTACCAAGCATAAGGGCCTGAGTTCAAATCCCAATACTACAAAAATAAAGAGCCAGTGCAAAAAAGGGTTAGTGGTATGACTGGACCATCGACCACTTGTCTACCAAGTGTGCAGCCCTGACTTCAAACCACACTACCACCTAAATAAACAAACAACAGGCCTAGGAGAGTAGCTCACATGGCAAAATACTTGCTTAGCGAGCATGAGGTCCTTAGTTCAAACCTACTTTTATATTTTAAAGTAAGAAAAAGAAAAGAAATAACCAATGCTGCAGTTGGAGGCAGCGCTCCAGTCATAGAGTACCAGCCAATGGGAGAAAGTAAACATTTGATACCAAGTTCCAGTCCTAATCTCAGAGGAAAGAAAGAAAGAACCAACCCTGCCAGATGCCAGTGGTTTACATCTGTAATCCTAACTACATGCAGGAGGCTGAGATCTAAGGATCACAGTTTGAAGCCAGCCTGGACAGGAAAATCCATGAGACTCTTATCTCCAATTAATCACCAAAAAGCCAGAAGTGGAGTTGTGGCTCAAATGGTTTAGTGCTATAGCCTTATACAAAAAGCTCAGGAACAGCACCCAAACCCTGAATTCAAACATCAGTACTGGCAAAAACAAAAAAAAACAAAAAATCCAAAAACTAATTTAAAGGAATAAAAACAGAAGCTACAATATGAGAGAAAAATCTGTGGAATCCCTATGTCCAACAAAGGTCAGGCATTAGAATAGGTATATCAGGCCTCTCAAGAATATATAAAGTATAAAAAGCACTCTCAAAACTTGGCAATACAAAAATAAAGATATACTAGCAAAAATAAGCAAAAAGATACAAAATGACATCTCTTCAAAGATATACAGCCAGTAAATAAGTTAATTATAAAATGTACCAGTACAGATAAAATGAAAAATACTTGACACCACCAAATGCTGGTAAAGATGGAGAACTAAAACTGTCAGATGTTGCTGACAAAGATGTGAAACAGTACAGTCAATATGGAAAATAGTTCTGGCAATTTCATATAAAACAAAACTCACAATTACTATATAACCCAACAACTGCAGTCCTACACATTCATCCCAGAGAAATGAAGACTTATATTCCCACAAAATGCTTATATTATCTCTATTCATAATATCCCCAAACTGGAAACAACAGTTTTTTTTTAATAGAATTAAGTGGTTAAACAAACTGTTATAGCCACACCAAGAAATACTACTTAGCAATGAAAGAATTGCCAATACACCCAACAACTGGGATGAACAGCCAGAGAACTATGGACCAATTGCCAGGGAATTAAACTGAGTAAAAATGCTCATTTTAAAAGACTCTATTACTGTGTAATTCAATATAGATAAAATATTCCTGAAATGACAAATTTACAGGAACACAGAATAGGTCAGTGGTTACTAGGTGGTCTTAGAGGAGGTGGGCACAAGAAAGAACAGTATGGGGGCTGGGAAGGTGGCTCAGTGGTAGAGCGCTTGCCTTGCATGCCTGAGGCCCTGGGTTCGATTCCTCAGCACCACATAAGCAAAAAGAAAAAAG